GAGAGAATATTTCCCTTTTCCTTTCGTCTTATAGTATTTAGAATATATTCTTTTAATCTCTATATATATTGCTATTCTCTTTGAATGGATGTTTGCTGTGTCTATTGTATTCCTTTTTATCACATAATACTATATTATTGTCGATTTTCATGGATTTATTTTGTTATTTGATTGATATTGGTTGCATGTTCGTGACATGAATTGATTAAATTTGATGTCATTTTTTCAGAGTAAACTCTGTTGGAGTCCCATTTTTTTTATTTGTCAAAAATACATTTTGGAATAATGATTTGATGAGAATGTGTGGTAAGAAAAGATTTTAGATTTACGTACAATATTATTTTATTTAAGAATGTGCAGTTGAAAATAAGAAAGATAAAAATGTATTTTCGAAATAATGAGAACAAAACAAAGGCTAAATTTCAATATGGTATCGAAGTTTAAAAAGTTTAAATCTATTCTATTTTTACTATATTAAAGAAGGATAGTTTCCCGCCGCTGTACTGCAACAATGTTCCTGCCCATAATTCTGGCCTCCATCCTGACCAAGATAAAAAAAAAAAAAAATTTGGGTGCACTTACAGCTTTGTAAGGTTTGTTGTCGTGAATTTTAGTGTTTTTGGTATCTATTAGATTTTTGGGATATTTAAAGCTGAAAATGGGTTATATTTTGGAATATTCAAAACCGTTTGCTGTTTGTATTGTGATAAAAAACATTATTTGGAAGTACTGCATATGTTTCTTCCATTTTTTTCCTACCTATNCTAATTGCTTAAAATGAGGAAAATTTGAGTGAAATGTACTAGGGTTCCAATAGTAGAAGACGATGAATAATTTAGTTTAGTATGGCCGAACCCATATTTGATTCTAGAAATGGCCGAACGATTTGCTTAAATTATTTTTGTGGTTAGAGGCAGCCAAATATTTTTTGGTGTTGTTTTGTGTTTTGAACGATATAAGTTCAGATACTGTTTTTTATTAGTTCAGGCACCTGCCTCCGTGTGCGGAGGCCAGATCCTCCGCGTGAGGAGGCACCAGCCTCCGCACGCGGAGGAACCAAAATTTACGAACCCACAGCCAACACTGAAAGGAGCAAAACTGTATTATGCTTTTTTTATTACAACTTGGGGTGTGGGGCCCCTTCCATACAGACCATCAGATTCTATTAATTGATAAATATTAGTAGATTTAGAATAAAGATAATT